TTGAGGTGGTTAAACATAGTGGAATCAAAGTGGTGGAAAAGATCATTTGATGTTTGTAAAAAACTATAATGATAAAGGAGGTGGGAAGGACCCCCAAATTCAGGGTACTCTGCATGAGAGAGTTGGATCTTGTTTCACATTTAATCCTATTAAGTTCTAACTGTGCTCTCATTTAAAGCAAGAATGATGTTCCCAGTTGTGTGGTTTGGGGAATTTAATGGTTTTTGAGGGTGCCTAGAAAATACTATAACTGAATGGGGGAAAAGGAAAAGCAGTATCATTTGTTCAGATTGCACAGATATTAAGTTCATAGATAAAGTTAAAAAAAATATCTAATGTTGATTTGCTTTGTGACCAACTTAGGTGTTAAATTGCTAATTTCTATTTTGCACTATGATGATACCTGCTAATAATGTCAGACAATTATATTTTGATGTAAGCTCACATAATTATGATGCCTTAATTAAACGTTTGGAAATAAAAGAAGCTATTGAGCTATATACAGTTTTTGTAACTTAAAATGTTTTTCATGAGGTTCCTACAGAAATAGATTTAAAAACCATCCAAATACTGTCCTTGTATTCAAATAACTGTACCAGTATAGTACGTTAGTATGAAGTTCCAACACGTTTTTGTCCTGATGGCTTTTCTGGTGATTTTATTTTAGCTGTATAGTTTTTATTTCTTGGTCATGAATTTAGTCTCTGTGAAGGCCAAGAGGTGGAAACCCTCTATTATTCCAGCAGTACACAGGACTCTCTGCACTGCTGTATCAGGAAATCTCAAGTAACAGTTTTATGATGTATGAGGATATTATTCTCTGCAAGCAATAACACGCATTTCTATTTCCCCAGCAATATCCACATAATCAAACATTCACAAGTACTTTACAAAGAATTTAATTAAATAGTGTGCAGAGTAACTGGATGCAGCATGCACACAAACTGTTATATATTCAGTAGTTCACATTTTGCAGTTAGTGCAGAACACTTCGGAGCAGTAATATGTGTGAATGATATTTCTATCAAAACGTGCATCATCATCCCTCCTTTTGTACCTTGCTCCTTAAAATTTACACTAAAACCTTAACAGATGTCACCTCCAGGAGCACAGAATACCTTCCTCGGTGCTTTAATGATGTGATAAACAGAGGGAAATACAAATTCTCATGTTGATATTTGAACATCAAACATTGTTCCTCTGAAGTCAAATGTTTATGACTCCCCAGAGAAAGATAAATCTTATTGTGTCTTTTACTACAAAACTAGGCATGTTTGGAATTTTATTTAAAGGTAGTAGAAATTTGTGGAGTAATTAACCACTGAAGAATTTAATTTCTAAATTAACACCAAGTCTTGCATATTCAGAGTTTAGACATGGACCATGAGAATAAAAGATTTTCTCATTTTGTAATAATGAGTATGTTCAGAGTCCCTTCTGTCAGTCACTGGAGATTAAGAAAGCCACTGTTATTAAAGTTCAGTACATCAGACCTGGCACTAGAAAATGGTAGGAGTGTGTTCATATGTTGTAGTACACTTCTTAGTTCATTCAGCATTATCAGTATGTTCATGTCACCTGCAATGATTAGGATTCTGGAAACCAACAGGGTTATCTATTATGTTTTGTCTATTCAGAAAAGCCCTTTAAGCATTAGCTGATGCATGAGAGGAGTTTCCAGGCTTGCAGAGCAGCGGGGCTGTGTTGGATAAAAGTGATTTAGAATATCCCTCTGTGGTTGTCTACCTGCAAGGCAGTTAGCCGTCCATCAGATAGGAAGGTTTTATTGGTAAGTCAGTGCTATAAAGTATAGGTCTAAACCAGCAGACCAATACCAATGGCACAGGAAGTGAAAGGCAGTCTATAATTAACCTGTAAAGGTGTTTAGTATGAGACCTCACCCAAGTTTTTCAGTTCCAGAGTTATTCCAGTTTATTACTGACTGACACTGACAAAATCTGTCCATTATGACTGGCAAGAAAGACCAAAACCTCCAAGTGAGCCCAAATGAGAGAAAGGAAACAAAGAGATCAGTTACAAGTAGGGAACTGGTTTTACTTTTATACTAGTTCTGTTTTAGTATTGCTTTGCTTATTTGAGAGAAATTGCTGAAAACTTAATAGGTGTAAAAAATAACAGAGTCTCTCTATTCTTCTTCTGAAGATGCCTTTTGGAGGAAAGTTGAATCACTGCAGGAGAAGTTGCGGCTTTCCTTACAGAATTGAGAATGGGAGAGATCCCTGTTTAAAGTTAATGAAGATTTGCCATTAACTTCAGTGATTTCACCTAGTAGCCTTTGTGTCCTTTTTTTTTTTTTTTTTAATCCTTATCCCTTCTTTGTACAACAGACAGGAGTTTTTAATTTTGCATGTCATTTATGACAAATTGTAGTTATTCTAGAAAATTAGTACAGTTTGATCTTCAACTGAAGAAGAAAGGCAAAGCATATAATTTTGAACTTATATGTCTAATCGTGAACACCATGTTTTGGATTTTTGCTTTATTTAATTAGGCTTGTGTTTTAGTGTCTGCCTTTATAGAAAACATTTATTCCTTACCATTTGTAGTATGTCTCTGTTTGCAATTTGGATGTTTTCGGTTTGCTTGTATTTGGAAGTAGCTGCTAGACTCTGTCTGTGCTTCCACTAGAAGGCTGGTATTTTTATGCTTCTTGCAGCAGGCCGTTTTTTGGAGTGCTGAAATATATCCAAGTTCTCCACTCCTGATATTTCAGTGGCAACTTCCTGTGAAACCAGAAGTAGAGCTCCTGCTGTCAGGTTGTTCTCCAAGCCAATTTCACCACATGTATCAGCAAGACAGAATAGACAAATTTAGGAGATGTGTTGGTTCTGTGATATAACTTAGAGTATTATTTAGAATAAGCAGGTTGGAATTTTTCTTTTTCAGGTTAGGAAGTCAACCCAGAGACCTTTCATGCCACCCAGAGAGGTACCACCTAGATATACTTATGTTAGTTGCAAATGAACTAGCTTTAGAACCAGCAGTAATACAGCCAAATGAGAGGAATGTGTCAACCAGGCTAATTAATTAAGAAGCCATGCTAATTAGTTTGACCGGAGGGAGCACCATGCTGATGTGACTGTATCTTCCAAAATTCTGGCTGCTTTGTACACAGGTTGCACTGGGCTTCTTGCAGATGTACAAGTTAGTTCTGGGCTCTTTCAGATGTTTTCACCATGAAGCAGCATTGTGTATTGTTTTATTCCTTATGTCAATTTACTGTTCCAGACTGATAGTCAATTTTAGTTCCTTCTCAATCATCTGCAGTGAGATTGCGGTGGGACTGAGTACACCCTCAGCAAGTTTGCTGATGACACCAAGCTGTGTGGTGCGGTTGACATGCTGAAAAGAAGGGATGCCATTCAGTGGGACCTTGAGAGGTGGGCCTGTGCAAACCTCATGAAGTTCAACAAGGCCAAGTGCAAAGTCCTGCACATGGGTCAGGGCAATCCCATGCACAGCTACAGCCTGGGCAATGAGTGGATTGAAAGCAGCCCTGTGGAAAAGGACTTGGGGGTACTGGAGAATGGAAAACTGACCATGGGCCAGCAATGTGTGTTTGCAGCCCAGAAAGCCAGTCGTATCCTGGGCTGCATCAAGAGAAGTGTGGCCAGTAGGTTGAGTGAGGTGATTCTCCCCCTTTACTTCATTCTCACGAGACCCCACCTGGAATGCTGTGTCCAGCTCTGGGACCCCCAACATAAGAAGGACAGGAACCTGTTGGAATGGGTCCAGAGGATGCCGTGAAGATGCTCAGGGTGCTGGAGCACCTCCCTTATGAGGACAGGCTGAGAGAGTTGGGGTTGTTCAGCCTGGAGAAGAGAAGGCTCTGGGGAGACCTTATAGCGGCCTGCCAGTACTTAAAGGGGGCTACAGGAAAGCTGGGGAGGGACTCTTTATCAGGGAGTGTAGTGATAGGACAATGGGTAACAGCTTTAAACTGAAGGAGGGTAAACTTAGACTAGATCTAAGGAAGAAATTCTTTACTATGAGGGTGTTGAGGCACTGGCACAGGTTGCCTGGAGAGGTTGTGGTTGTCCCCTCCCTGGGAGTGTTCAAGGCCAGGCTGGACAGGGCTTCAAGCAACCTGGTCTGGTGGAAGGTGTCCCTGCCCATGGCAGGGGGTTGGAACTAGATGATCTTTAATGTCCCTTTCAACCCAAACTGCTCTAAAAGTAAAAAAAAAAAAAATTCTAACACATGAATAGATGTAATATTGTCTTGTTCAACCTCATGGTACTGAGAGAAATTCCTCACTTCTTTTTTTTTTTTTATCTGATGAAGGATCTTCCCATCTTCTTAATATTTTGTCACATACTGAATACAAAACTCATGTAATACTCCTGAAGTTCTGTATGGCACCATTGTTCCAGCCTGCAGGGCTGAGAGGTGACTGTCAGGAGTCCTGTTCTCAGAGGATGCATGCTAGCAATAGTGCATGCTGAAAGATGCCTTGTTTTGTAAGAACTGGTGCTTCTGAACAGTTTGTCTTCTTTCTGGTTGTTATGAAACAGTATTTATTCAGTGCTCCCCTTAATGTTAGTCCTTACATACAGTTTAATGTGCAAGGAGTTCATAAAGGAGTCACTTTAATGAAAAGATCAAAAATACTTGTGGTAAAAGACTGTTTTACTACATTGATATGGTACAGTGAACGTGAGAAGCAGTATCAAACCCAGAAGTAGATCAACAAGGTACTATAAATCAGGTGTATTCTGTATAGGAAGCTTCAATTAGAAATACTAAGTACTGTGTTACAGCAATAACGTGATGATTATGTGTGAACAGATAGTGGCATAAGATAAAAAGGGAATATTTTATTAATGTTTCCTAAATAACATTACTAGAGAGCTGGAATTCTGTTTTTTACACGTATGTTATTTAAAATGCTTTTAGTGATCATTTGTGGCCTTACTTACAAAAGGTGTTCAGCCTAGAAGCTCCCACAAGGAGTTAACACATATTTTTTCTATTTCTAGATCTGTTAGCTGTGCCTAAGCATCCATATGCTGCTATGGAGAACTGGGGACTGAGTGTTTTTGTGGAGCAAAGGATACTGCTAGATCCAAGCATTTCTTCTATATCATACCTACTGGATGTCACCATGGTCATTGTACATGAGCTATGTCATCAGGTATTAAAGGTGTTCAGATATTTGATACTAATGTCATAAAACATGCATTCCTTTTCAAAACTGAAAATTAATTCGTGTTGTTCACATAGACAGTTGCAACTTTTATTGTAACTGAAGTCCAAGTAATATGGAGATCTGTAAGGCATATCACTACAATTCAGAAACTGGGAAGACTCAAAAGGTAGATAGAAGAGAAAATTAGTAGCAATGAACAACTTCCCTATTTTCTGTATGATTATATTCTGTATGTTTGTGTGTGAGTGTGCTGTTGGTGTGTAAACACGTTGATAACTGTAGAAAATGATTTATTGCAGAACTGTAGCAGATTCATGCTGGGTTTCATGTTCACGTCAAAAATCATTTTGGCTGAAATCAATTTGTTAGTCATCATCTTCTTCCGTCACATATACCCATACTTCCATTTTCTTTTTATTTTAATTTGTTATTGACCCTCTGTTCACTATCGGTGGATAATTGAGTCTTCATGTGTACACAAACTTTTGTATCAATAAGAAAACTTTGTAAGAAACACATATTACAATTTATTTTACATTTCTTCCATCTTCTTATCTCAAACTAAACATATTACAAGTGTTCAGTAAAATTGAGTTGAATGCAAAAATTATTGAAGGAATTTGCTACAGGGGCAGGAAACCCTTTCTTGCACTCACAAGAGGCATAATCATAGCCTTCAGGTTAAAATGAATGAAATCCTACTGTGTAATCAGCATGGCTTACATCTGTGACTTTACACACTATTCTTTATAAAGCAATACAAATTCTTAACACTTTCTGCAAATAAAAAATACCATATAAAAGGGAGCCTTTGTAATGAAGTTCTGGTAGATGAACCTGGAAATAATAATGTTTGGTTCATATTCATGTTTCACATTAAATCTGCTGAAGAATATGAAGTTCTCAACTACAACACGAAATTTTTATTGAAAGTTACTGTTGGTTTGTTCTCAATACAATCATCTGATTTTGTTATATGCTCTTTATTGTGCAGTACAATAGAGTAGCATACTGTTCAGCTAGAAAAATTACAGTGCCTTAGGAATCAGGTGTGGAAAACACACATTAGGTCATCAAATCCTGGCTCCTGTTAGTATTAGATTCTCGTGTGGTGTGTTTTCTAGTGCTGGGTTCAGTGCTCCTGATTACAGGGTTATGCTGCTTCCCTTAAAACCTTTTGATTAAATCTGATGGTCAATAACTTTTTCCTAGCATTCAGCTTAAGCCTGCTTTTTCTGAAGTTATTCCATTACTTCCAGTTATTCTTTGCACCACTTTATTAATTTCCTCTGCTTCCAAAGCAATTTATACTTCATATGTGGGCAATTATCACATCAGTAACTTGCGAAGTTTGTTTATTTGATTCTCATTGAAACCAAAGCCTTTTTACGTTGTTATGGGAATATCAGAGGATCATGAAGTGGGTGAAAACTCTATTTGAGTTTATTTTAGGGTAGCTGTGTGGTCATAGAGTGCCTTTAAGTGACCTTAAAGCTGTGAATGTAAAGGTTTACTTGGTGTCTGTGTTGATTTTACTTCCAGTGCTGCTCACTTAATTAAAAGTATGTTCCTCCATTCGTGTTGCTGCTGTTTTTGTTTTAGTACCATGCAGATCAGGTCCTTGCTCAGCTGCCTCACTGGATAACTAGACAAAGTAGAAAATATTCAGGTGGAAGAAATACTATTTCTACTTTTTAGATACAAAATTGAGTCACAGAAAATATGGATTGTTTATCTGCAAATAAAGTTTAAGGGAGAAACCCTCCAAAAATACAAGCCACAAAACAGTGTCTAGCACCTCCATCACTGTATTGTCTTTATTTGGCCAGTTTTTTTCTTCTTTTGTTTTACCACATTCAGAAGCCCCTCAAGGAAACTTTAGCTGTGGATAACATAAAGCAGGAATTGTAAACAGTACTAGCTTAGGTGAAAATGTATTAAACTGAGACTGGGTTGGGTCCAGGATCTCTTGCCTCTGCTATTTAACTGTTAATTATTCATTGCATTTTTCATCCTTTCTTGCTGTGGATCATCTCGCCTGCTAATCTGAAGTGGCACATGGATAGATCCCCCATTGACTCATTTTTACACATAGAATAACAGAGATTAACCAAAACCACTTCTGTCACAGCCGAAACTAGAATCCACATCTCTGGTTTTATTTTTTATTTATTGATTTTTTTAAAAAAAAATTAAGGTAAGAGGAGAAGGTACTCTCCTAACATATGATTTCCTAAAATACATTTTTGCTTTGTCTGAAGAATTGTATCATTGCCCTATTTCCTCTGAATTTAATCCCATGACTTTAAGATTTACAGAACATAACTGAGCGTTTATCAAACTGATCTGTATGAGACCCTTGTTACTTAGAGTAACACAGAAATTGCTTTGCTAATGTTGTTCCCAAGATTAGAAATATCAAATAAATATTAAAAATTGGGATTGTTACCTTTAGTTATGACTGTTTAAAATCAGAGTTCACGGATCTGCTGGGTATTAACACTTAAGCACAGTGTTCAGGACAAGTAGAAAATGAGAGACAGCCCTGCAGGACAAAGAAAATCTGTGGTTGTCAGAAGACAGGTAAAAAGTGTGTAAGAAAGACTTTTACACCTGCTTTCTTCACAAGTGACTTTAATGCTTGACCAGATATTTATTTTAGGTACATGTTTTAGGAGGTAACATTAAAGTTACATAGGTGGCTTTAGTTTAGTCATTTTGTAGGTTGCTAGTGTTTAATATTTCAGCTTGAGTGTTTTTTTAGAACATTTTATGTATTTAGTTAAAAAAAATAATAATTGTAAGGAGTGTTTCAGCATAAAAGTTCTCCATGCCCCAAAACACAAATGAGGTATTGGTCAAAACATACATACTTCTAAGACCTTAAGTTGATAGCTTGAAATAATTACCATAATTTATTAAAATAATTCTATTAAGGTAGTAATCGGTTTTATTTGCGTATCACAGATCAGTTCCACCCACAGCCTTTGAAGAAGGAGAAATTTGAATTTATGCACCATGATGTTTTGTGATGGTTTTCCCACCTGAGCACAAAAATTGGTGTGACAGATTGAGTTAAAGAGGCATGAAAGCAGAGGAAAATAAAAAAATTCTAAATCAATGTTTTTTTAATAATCTCTAAAGAAAGCATATAGGAAAGAGTGTCCTTTCAACGTGTCTGTAAAATAAGTGCCTTCTGCATGTCAGTCTGAACGTAATACCTGAGGGAGACAAGACATTTATGCAATCAATACATTTCAATTAATTTTTCTTTTCCAAATTGAAAAGAAGTAATGATCTTCACTCCAGGCAAATAGTGTCTATAGCCAACTACACAAATAAATAAATAATTACTTAAATAAATTAAGTGCTATACTTAATGTTTTCCTTTCAGGCATATAACACCTAGGAAGATAATAGCATCTTTCTGCTGGAAAATTTGGCTTCATTAGTTTCAGTCTCTGGGACTGCTCTGTCTTTGACATTCATAACTATCTCTGATACTATTCAAGACTAGTTAGGCAAATTTCCCTACATTTTCATATTGGCATCACATGCTGTTTTAATGCCTGTAAAATACTTCTTCCTTTAGGTGGATAATTAAATGTCTATTTTAAATTGTATTATTAATAAATAAACCCGGAAAACTCACAAAGGAGTATAAGAAATTATCTTTTGTGACATCATAAATTAATGTTATTAATTCTTTGGAGTTACAGGAGGACATATTATGAACTTTACAACCTTTATTTTTTTAAATCTCTCTCTGAATAGTCAACACATACCATGACCATTAACGGTTTCATATTTGTTCAGAGTCCTTTTGTAATTCAAAAATTAAACTCTGTGCTGTTGTGTTTAGTCTATTTGTCATTAGAAATCATATACTCAACCTATTCTAGTATAAATATAGCTTTCATACTCCTCTGGTGGTATGCTACTCTAACATTTCAAATTGTGAAAAGTACATTATGTATATGAATGCATTTCCAGTGTTTCTTTGTCTTTTCATTTAAATGTTCTTAAGGTGAGGATCTATCTCTGTTACTGATAGCCTTCAACTAGTTTGTGATCACTGAGTGTCTATTAAGTTTAATTTCATTTAGTGTGTTAATATGACTTCTGGCAACCTCAGCTTTTCTCCCTAAATTGTTAAGTTGGTTGTCAGTGCCATTCATTGTCACATTTTCCTCCATTTTTTCATTCAAATTCTACTTACGGAGCATTGTGTGGCAATCTGGTAATCTCAGTTTCTGTAGTCTGTTCCTTGGAACCCCTGTGTTCATTGCATTACAGATCATCGTCACAGCATTGATCGTTCCTTGGCACTATTCTCACTCCACAAAGACACGCACGGAAGCGAGACCTTTCATTCAGGTCCCAAACAAAGCTTTCAGATAAGTTTCAAGCAGTTTACTGGGTAACTTTGCTTTCATTCATTCCCCACTCTCATTACATTGTCTGGAGCAGCTCCTCTGCTCTGACATGAGTCTCTCCCTCTGGAATACTTATTTGGTTCTTCCTTTCTGTGTATTTTCAGAGTTTAAGACTCCATGAAAGCTCAAAATTATCTCTGTGGATTATGGACTAATCTAATTTCTAATCACATTAAGAAAAAAACTGGCAGAGAATTTTATTGAAACAAAGTTTTGGGTTTTGTTTGGCAAAAAAGGTGCTACAGAGAGTATGAAATATGTTTTCATGATAGTGTATGTGTCTCTGCTCCTACCACTGGTGTTATGATGATCCAGGTTGCACAGGGCCATTACAATCATTTTAAAGAGGGTATCCATCAGCAGAACAATTGATGATGCCTGAATTCCTTGGAATTTTTGTCCTTATTCCTCTTCCAATGATCATCGCAGCTCTGTCTAAAATCCCTCTGACACCCACGTCCTGTACTGTGACAGGTTTGTGGCTATTGATGGCTACTGAGCAGAGTATCTAAAGGCCATGTTCTTGTCTTGCTGTCAGTTTAGGTCCTTCTCCTCTTTTTATCTACTGATCTTCATGTACTTTTGTAGGATTTTAATTACCTTTGAGATCTCTGCCATTCTTTCTAAATTAGATTGAAGTCAGTGGGGAAATTCAAGAGCAACCTGGGGGGAAGGGGAAATGCAGTCAGCTCAGGTAGTGTTCCTTTGCATAAACATAGGTGGCCTATGCCACTTTAGACACCTTTTGCCTCTGGTTGCTGTTCAGGAAGGCTGCAGATCTCTTGTTAGACCTGTATGAAATTTCTTACGCCTGTGTGGTTATCTCAGATACCCTAGGATGTTCTTTAAGTGACATCATCTACCTGCTCTTAGGCATCTGAGTTCTACTCACAGAGAGACAAGGCATGATTGTGTAGGACTGCTTTTCTTAAGAAACTCTTCAGTGAACAGAGCATCAGTAGTATTGTAAATCTTAGTGGGCAGACATCATGGAGGATGAAATGCTGAAATTTAAGTCTGGAGTATGGAGATCATGTTCCCAGTTTTTCAGGATTCACACTATACATAGTGAAGCTTCCAGGTAATGAATCAGATTACTTGAGTTAGAAGCCTTTTTCTATCTATTGTGTATGTTAGTCCCTTAAACCTAGGTGAACATCTACTTTAGATAGCTAAAGTAAACACTGTGAATACTCTTCTCAGTGCTTCTTTTCACTTGCTTGTTCTTTTCTAATCAGTTCAGTAACTTGTGCATCCTGTGAAGGCTTAACTCAGTAAGTAGATGAAAAAAACAGTTAAGGAGTTTCAGTGGCCGATATATATGTTTATATTAAAACTTGTGAAGAATGTGTTCTGTATGGATGAGATGTATACAAACATGGTTTCCTAAAGGCAGTTTATTGGAACTTTTTTTGCAGTGGTTTGGTGACCTTGTGACTCCAGTTTGGTGGGAGGATGTGTGGTTGAAAGAAGGTTTCGCTCACTATTTTGAATTTGTTGGGACAGACTACCTCTACCCAGGGTGGAACATGGTAAGTCAGTTTTATTGTGTTAATTTGGAAAGCCCCCAGCGAAGTTGTTCTGCTGTTATATTCCTGCTTTTGTTATAGGCAGGGACTGCTGAAAAATACCAAATGATGCATGCAAGTATCAGATGTCCAATGAAGCAAAATCACTAGGTGTGAAATAATTTGACAGCATTCCAAAAGTGTAATCTGCAATTTATTACAAAAGAAATAAGGTCATGTCTATCATAACCCAACATTAAAGTAACTGCTGTCTCTCTGCTCAGAAACATTTGGATTAAAGCAGTTATGATTTAACATGGACCATTTTTGAAAATATTCAGAATATTGAATTTCATCCAAAACCACGAGATAAATTAGAAAGAAATTTTTGGCTAAAACATACTGTAAAATTGAGCATATTTTTTCTTACAGCATTCTATTCTCCTCTCCCCATTTTACCCTTTTTATCTTATTGCTACTACTTGGCCATTTAGAAGTACACACTAAGTTAACATGGGTAAAGGAATTGAGAATCTAAGTTTCGGTATGATTTCCAGCTGTATACAGCTGGACATGCTTTGTCAGCTGGTGTGCAAATACTGGAACTCTCTGAGGGCAAACTGGGAAGGCCATGTTGCGACATTCTTTTGGAGTCCCTGTGTTACATCATCTCATACCTAGTCAGGTCCCAGTTTATATCAACTGCTGTAGTATATAAATATTATGCTTCTAAGAAAAATAAGAGATACAAGAACAAGGAAATGGTGTGTGAGACCATGTTGAATGTTGCTATATAGAATTTATTGTCCTTTGGAGAAATTATTTTGTTTACTATCCTTTTCTGTTTACATATGTTCGATTATGTGGCAAAATATTTGTTATAAATACAGATTGCCCGATGGAGATTTGTTGTAGCTTGAATGTTTTGCTTAAATTCTTGTATACTAACTTCTGAAATGTTTTTTCATATTTCTGGGTGTTTTATTGAATATTATTAGCCCATTAATTTTGTGTGCCATGAAATGAAGATGCTATAGTTATGAGGTAAAGCTAATTTTTTAAAATAGTTGTATACATGTAGTCTTGCTTTAAATATGCTTATTGTGAAGTTTGAAGGCTTTGTAGCTTTTTAAATTTTTTCCTCCAGGTGTCAATTTTGGTTTATAATTGCATTATGAAAAGGAAAATAAATCTTTATCTGAACTGACATCTGTCTTGCATAGCTAGGCTTGTTGGGTTTACCTGGCTTTGACTGTATTAAAACTCATTCTCTTCATCTTCATGAAAAACACATCCTGAATTACAATGTAATGATTCTAATTACGAATGCAATGAAATCTGGCAGGCCTTTATGTTTTTAACATAGTGAAATGTCATAGATGACAACGTTTATACACTGAATTTTATCTTCAAATCATCAGTCATTTGTTCTCCACATAATCAGTTTAACAAATCCAGAATAACTTTGCTTTAGAAGTCATTTGGAATATAGAATATTTGCTTGAAATTTCTGTGGAATGTATATAATGTTCACTGTTATGCAAATGACATGCCCATCACGTGAAATCCTGGCGTCTTAACAGAATACAGGCAAAACAAATGGGTTGAACAAGGTATGGCAGTTAAACTGGGAAATCAGACATGCGCTGCATAAATTAGAATCAACTACAGTAGTATTGCTGTGCCTGGAAAAAATATTGATCTGTCAAGTTTTTTCCTTAAATTAAAAAGAAGGAAAACATAAACTTTTCATAAGGCTTTGGATATCATTGGCCTTTGATATAAAAATAATTATACTGACATTTAAATAATTAGAAAATTGGTGGCAAATGGAACACTTGAATTAAACATTTAAACATACCGCATTCTTCTGTAGACTAGAGTAGGAGTCAGTACTGTAATGTTTTAGCCTTATTACAGAGATTGTAGGAAGAAGAAGCAAGTTACTGGAATTTGGCTTGCTGGACATTTTTGTTACCGATATAAAGTGCATTTGCTGCTTAAATCATATGGACATTTATAAACTTGAAAAAAACAAGAAGTAAGTATTTATAAAAAGAAAAGTTGCTCCAAAAAACTTTTTTTTAATGTTTTTTCTTCAAAAGTGAAGGATACGGTACAAGTTTCATGAATCGGTTGCAAAAACAAGAACTACAAACTCTTAATGGTGTGTTACAAACTCTCTAATGTGGGAGCAATATTCCAATACTCTGGGTGGTGTTTTGTCAGCAGTAATTCATACATATGAAATAAAAATAAAAGATGTAACAGTGTGTGATACCACAGCTCTTTGCATCAGGAAAATCCTGATACACCAGTATGCCAAAATCCTCTTTCTAAAGATTTGGGAAAGTTCGACAGTTAAATTCTTTCTTTTGTAGTTCTGAGATGTTACCCTTGAAATTTTCCTCAGAAAGTCCATAGACTAAAATGTTCAATTAAGCTTATTTTCAGCTTATTAAAGATTTTTGTCACATTTTCTTTTGGATAAGTGTAGAAGAAGAAGGCTGGTAGTCAATTTTAGAAAAAGGACTTTTCTCTGGAAATGCAACTTGGGCAGTATGGACACATCTGAATCAAGTGGATCTATCCACAGCTTTCTGCCTAGCTGTTGGATGCTTATAGGCTACAGGCACATACATTTTCACTATTAAAGCTTCATAAGCTCCTGAAGTGTTGCTTCTACTTGTCTCAAGATGCTTCTCTTTTATCAGAGTTGAACATTTTTCAGTGTCCATGGATGTCCAAGATGGATAACAATCTTGACCAAACTGCCATGGAAACGTAACAATTTATTGAGCATTCCAGAAGGTCTAGAATTTCTTGTCTTGTTCAGAAAGTGTTTACAAACTTCATCAGGCTTGCATAATCTTAATGAGAAAGGAGATCCAGTTCTTATTAAATCCTTGCCATCCTTATGCCCTGGACCCTCCTATTAAAATTTTACGTGAAGAACAGAATGAAGAGTCTTTCTGATGGAGGTGTCCATTATCCATTGCAGTTAATACAAGATGCATCAGAACTCTCCTGAGGAAGTGGAAAAAGTTTTGCTGGTTTTAAAGCAGGAAGGTGAGCTTTCTGTGCTGAGATCCTTAATGGTTCCGCCACTGTTCTTAATATTCTTCTTAAAACTTAAGTTACTTCAGATCAAAGCTAGAAATTCTCATTTCCTTCCCTCAGCTAAAAAATAAGTCCCTGCATATTACTTTTTACCTCTTGAAGGTGAAGGTACCTTTGATTTTGCAGGAAATATGTCCCTACTATATAGTCATTAGACATTTGCCATGGAAATGAATTCACCATTTTTCTTGTTTCAGCCACTTGCATTGCCTATCCCCCAAATTAAGAGTTTATTGAAATTCTTATTCTGAAATCTCTTCAATTCTTATCTTAAAATCTCATTCTTCAAGGTCTTGGAAGTTTAAACAATTGTTTCTGTATTGTCAAGAAGGTTTGGAAAATGAAGCTGGCTCTGCAAACTCTTCCCCCCAGAGATCAGAGATTTTCACTTGATCATGTGTGCTCAGAGTAGTTATCTGCATGTAAATTCCCTGGCTGTTGCTATTTCATGATTTAGAAAGAGATGAGGTTTCTGTATTAGAGGTTTACTATATAACTGTTTGGTTGTCTTTCCATTGTATCAAAAAGCAACAGAAGCTGGATGTGAGCTCTTGAGCTGTAAGATCTTAAAACTAATACAAGGTAATCTTGTCTCTGTGGAAGGTACCTCTGCTAGTTTTAGGATCAGAGAAAAGAAAATTACAGCAGAAAACTAAATGCTGATAATTTCCACTTTGTAATCCTGTTTTTTCTCATATACCCTGCTCACCTTCCTCCTTTCGGGGGCCCATTTGGAACTGTATGTTCCAGCTTCCTCTCTACTTGTTTCTTTCATTATCCTCAAGTCCTTTGTATGTGGCTTTGTAAAGGAAGGAATTCAACTAAGGTTTACAGATCCAGGAATTTATTGACTGATCTTTTGCCTCCTTATTTTCTGGTAGAAGGAACCATCATATTTGTCCTTGAATGTCTCTGGTGTTGGGGTAGGTTTTGAGGACTATGACAGCAGGAATTACTGGCATGTAATTTTCCCTTTCATCCATCAAACGAGTGTCAAATACTTTAGCGGTCAGTACCTGGCTTGATGCTGAGAAAGCATTCCATAAAGCCCAGCTGCCTTCTCTCTTTTCTTTATTATACAGAAGTTAGCTTTGCTGACAACTTTATTGGTGGAGTCAAGGTGTAGTACATCAGTGATAGCTTTGAATCCTCTGCCTTCTCTATCCATTGAAGCTCTGGGATAAGATCTTCCACTTTTTTGTGTGCTTACTACTTTTATAATAAAGGATGGTGATATTTGCGAGAAATTTTCTTAGTATTAAACAATTGTAATTGAAGTATTTGGATTAAAACTTCATGTCTACATGGAAGGGCATCTTTCACCTTTCTTAAAGTGAACCATGCTTCCTTCACACTATTAGATTCCATATCTAGATGATCCTGCCATTACTACAAGCAGCTGAAAATAATAATGAGGTTGCATATCAACATTTCTGTTTTAAAACTATGTGCTGCAAGAAATTACCTGTGCCTAAAAAAGTTAATAGAAAACCATTTAACTGAACTTCCTTACATTAAGTACTTTGAACATCATGTAACATGCTGCCCAAGTTCTTGATAAATGATCTTAATTGCCTTTCTCATTGACTTGGTTGAAATAATAGAAGTAAATATAGCCATTTAGGACACATGCATATCTTTCATGTGCTTTGTCTCAGACTGCCTGCTAAAGCATTTGTCTCCAGCTGTAAAGTTTTTTAGGCATTGTTTGACTCAGAAAACCCAGAAAATCATTATAAGTTTTGAGGTAGATTTAAGACATGGGCCTTTTTGATTTATTTCATTACTATTTTGGCATTTCAGACCTGAGCTGTAGCCTGCTTGATCCTTCTAACCCAACATAAATATCACACTGGCTCAGCATTGAGAGAGATTGAGCCTCTCGTTTTTTAAAATTACTTTCA